ACTATTAACTCTGTCCTCAGAAGAGATACATAGGCACATATCACACAGCCCTCTAGTGCTTTTCAGCCCTCTAGTGCTATAGGGATTTGAATGTGAACCCCCATTCCATAAGAAATTATTCAACAATTTCATAATTCTTCTTAGAATGTCTTAGTTGTAATTTGATACCATTCAAATATTTCTGAGCCGTAAGTCACTATATGTAGTTTGTCAGAGCAACTCTTCCTGACACATATATGAGAAAATAAGACTGACAAGATACTGACAATATTGTATAATGGAAGTACTTGAAACAGTTCTCTCTCTTTTGTGGATAGATAGATTTTTCCATAACAAAACCTTTTTAAAAATTAAAATTCAGTGGAATGGAATGGAAGTAACACAGATCAGATTTACACTTCTGCATGAAAAAACTAGAAAACTGAATGTTTAGACATTGGGCAGTAGGCATAATAGAATTGAGATTCCTGAGAGGAAAGGAACAGGATGAAACATAACGGCACCAGATTATTGCCTGAAGACAGTGGCCAGGCCACGGTGCAGGGAGAATAAACCCAGACAGAAGTTGGCAGTCTAACTGGGTTGAGACAGAGTTCAGTGAAATAAAGTACCAGAGAGGATAGAGCTGCCCAGGGAAGGCTCCAGATACTTGCAAAGGGCTCCCTTGAGTCTTTAGTTGAGTATTGATTGTTAGACACAAGAGAGACCTCCCCAAGGCCAGGAAAATGAGTAAGCAGCACAATTCCTTGAGCTCATAAAGGGCTGGGAATAGTTTGTGTTCCCACCAGCTAGAACAGGCAGGATCTTATAATCCTGGGGCACTGCATACAATCATCACAAGAGTTTCACCCTTGTACTGGGAGCAGTTAGCCCTAGACAAAAGGCTGCTTGGACCTGCCCTAATTGAAGCTTAAAAGCAAGCCTCGGGCCGGCGCCACGACTCAATAGGCTAATCCTCTGCCTAGCGGCGCCGGCACACTGGGTTCTAGTCCCGGTCGGGGCGCCGGATTCTGTCCCGGTTGCCTCTCTTCCAGGCCAGCTCTCTGCTGTGGCCAGGGAGTGCAGTGGAGGATGGCCCAAGTGCTTGTGCCCTGCACCCAAATGGGAGACCAGGAGAAGCACCTGGCTCCTGCCTTCGGGTCCGCGCGGTGCGCTGGCCGCAGCGTGCCAGCCTCGGCAGCCATTGGAGGGTGAACCAACGGCAAAGGAAGACCTTTTTCTCTGTCTCTCTCTCTCACTGTCCACTCTGCCTGTCAAAAAAAAAAAAAAAAAAAAAAAAAAGAAAGAAAGAACAAATTGGCTTCAAGTAACCTAACTGCATTTCAGAAGAAATTAAAACTTTTTATATTAACACCAGAAGTCCAGTAAACATTGACGTAATATTCAGTGTCTAGTATCCAGTCAAAAATTAGACATGCAAAGAAAATGAAGATATAACCTATAATACAGAGGAAAATCAGTCAATAGAAACAATTCCAGAAATGGCAGAGATGTTGGGACTAGCAGACCAGGAGGTTAAAATCTGTTATATGTTCTGTATGTTTAAAGAAGATATCAACATGATGAGAAAAGAAGCAAGATTTTGGAAAAAAAAAAAAAACCTAGCTGAAATCTCCATATAAGAGAAATACAATATGTGCAATAAAAATACACTGCAAAAAAATCAGTGAACTTGGAAGACAGGATTAAAATTACTTAAATATAGAGTGGGAGAAACATGGAAAAAAATGAACAGAGCATTGGTGCTTCGTGGTACTATAAAGTGGCCTAATAAAGGTATAGTTGAGCCGGCGCCGTGGCTCAGTAGGCTAATCCTCCACCTTGCGGCGCCGGCACACCGGGTTCTAGTCCCGGTTGGGGCGCCGGATTCTGTCCCGGTTGCCCCTCTTCCAGGCCAGCTCTCTGCTATGGCCAGGGAGTGCAGTGGAGGATGGCCCAGGTGCTTGGGCCCTGCACCCCATGGGAGACCAGGAAAAGCACCTGGATCCTGGCTCCTGCCATCGGATCAGCGCGGTGCGCCGGCTGCAGCGGCGGCCATTGGAGGGTGATCCAACGGCAAAGGAAGACCTTTCTCTCTGTCTCTGTCTCACTGTCCCATCGGCCTGTTAAAAAAAAAAAAAAAAAAAAAAAAAGGTATAGTTGGAGACCAAAAGGAAAAAAGTATGTGGAAGCAGAAAAAAATTTAAAACAATTTATTTTTATTTTTATTTTTTTCTTTTATTTTTGACAGATAGAGTTAGTGAGAGGGAGAAACAGAGAGAAAGGTCTTCCTTTTGTTGGTTCACCCCCTAAATGGCTGCTATGGCCGGTGCTACGCCAATGCGAAGCCAGGAGCCGGGTGCTTCTTCCTGGTCTCCTATGCAGGTGCAGGGCCCAAGCACTTGGGCCATCCTCCACTGCCTTCCTGGGCCACAGCAGAGAGCTGGACTGGAAGAGAAGCAACCGGGACTAGAACCCGGTGCCCCTATGGGATGCCGGCCCCACAGGCGGAGGATTAACCAAGTGAGTCACGGTGCTGGCCCCCAAAATTTAAAAGAATTAACAGCTGAAATTTTCCCAAATTTGGTGGAAACTATGAACTCACAGATCCAAGAAACTTCCAAACATTAAAGCAGAAGAAACACAAAGGCATTCTGGAATCCAATCCAAAGTGGCCCCTCCATGAGACATTAAATATAGAGAAAGAGGACAACAGCAGAGTTTTCTCCAGAGCTATACACATTAGGAAATAATGAAGAGACATTCTTAAAATACTGAAATAAAATGGTTAAAATTCTTGATCCAGTAAGAAAATCTTTCAAAACATGAGGGTATAGTAAAGACTTTTCAGAAAAACAAGGGCTGAAAGGCAGATATTCATTGCCAGTAGACTTGTACTATTAATGTTAAGGGAAGTTCTTAAGGTAGAAAGGACAATGATACAAGACAAAAAATAAATCTATACAGGAAATGAAGAATGCCAGGAATAATAAACATGTGAGTAAATACAGGATTCTTTAATAAATACCTATCAATTTAGAAAAAGCATTACTGGAAAAAGTAGCACTCTGAATAAAATACATGAATTAGTTAAAAATTAGTTAAGACACTAATGTCTTAATTTAACATGTACTACAGTAATTAGAGATGTTTGTTTACATTAGAGGAATTGGGTAAAGGTTTTAAGGAATCTGTATTGGTAGCTTGGTAACTTTTCTGTAAATCTAAACTTATTCCAAAATTAAAAGCTTATTTAAAAATCAACGGTAATATGCTATTTAAAGTGTAAATCAAAATGTTTCGTGAATTTATAGTACAGGTAAAACTAAAATGTATGGAAGCCATAGCATAAAGGACAAGAAAGGGAAGTGAGTAAATATATTGTGGTGCAGTTCTCATACCATATATGAAGTAGTTTAATATTATTCTGAAGTAGACTGCGATGAGTTAAAGATGTGTATTGTAAACCCGAGAGGAATGACTTTTAAAAAAGGTAGTGGTGATGGTGGTGGCGGAACACATACAGCTAAAAAATTCAGGGGTGAAGATAAAATAGAAGCATAAGGGTAGGAAACCTTTTTGCTGCCTGGGACCATTTATAACGTCATTCACAGCCATTCAAAATTATCGGCCTAAAAATTAGCCTACTATAGATTTATCAAATTTCAAGTCCCACCTGCGCTTTGTGTGGCTGGGCCAGACAAAATGATTTTGTGGGCCTTATACAGTGAGCCAGACATTCTCCACCTGTACTAGGAGAAAGAATCTGACTAATCCAGAAAACAAAAAGTAGATAATGCAAATGTTTAAAAATAGCAAGCTGGTAGTCTTAAATCTAATCATAATAAATGTAAAAGATCTAAATGTCATAATTAAAGAGGAAAGATCAGAATGAATAAACATGTAAGAATCAACTACCTAAATACATTTTAACATGAATGAATTCCAAAATGATAAAAGATCACAGATGTTTACATTCTATGTAGAATTTACATGAAAATCTAAAAAAGGCCAAACAGAGGGCTTCTCAAAGCCAGCATTAGAAAAAGGAAATTGGCAAAAAAGGATAGGAGGAAATTTTTGTGCTAATGAAACTTATATATTATGATTGTGGGGGTAGTTACATAACTATACATTTATCATCTACTTGTATATTGAATTTTAAATAAATTTTATTCAAATAAATTTTATTACATGTAAATTACATCTCAGTAAACATTAATGGCAGAGCTAACTATATGCATGAGGGAAAAGGGAAGAAGTGAAAAAAAAAATCAGTACTAGGAAACAAAATTCCTTTTTCTCTTTGAAAAATAATATGTAGGTGCCAGTGTTGTAAGTTAAGCCTCTGGCTGAGACACCAACATCCCATAAAGGTGCTGGTTCAAGTCCTGGCTGCTCTACTTCTTATCCAGGTCTCTGCCAACACACCTGGGAGAGCATCAGAAAATGGCCCAAGTGCTTGGGTCCCTGCACCCATGTGGGAGACCCAGAAGAAGCTCTGGGCTCCTAGCTTTGGCCTGGGTCAGCCCTCTCTCTCTCTATAACTCTGCCTTTCAACTAAATAAAATATAAATCTTAAAACAATATTTTGGCTGGCGCCGCAGCTCACTAGGCTAATACTTCGCCTTGTGGCGCCGGCACACCGGGTTCTAGTCCGGTAGGGGCGCCGGATTCTGTCCCGGTTGCCCCTCTTCCAGGCCAGCTCTCTGCTGTGGCCTGGGAGTGCAGTGGAGGATGGCCCAAGTGCTTGGGCCCTGCACCCCATGGGAGACCAGGGTAAGTACCTGGCTCCTGCCTTCAGATAGGCGCGGTGCGCTGGCTGTGGCGGCCACTGGAGGGTGAACCAACGGCAAAGGAAGACCTTTCTCTCTGTCTCTCTCTCTCACTGTCCACTCTGCCTGTCAAAAAAAAAATAAATAAATAAATAAAAAAACAATATTTTAAAAGTTTGAAGTTATGATTTTTAAAGTGAGCTTTAATTATCTACTAAATTTTTTATGCTTTTTTTTAATTATTAGGTTGAACTAAAGCGTGAGTACAATGACCACCATTCAAAATTAAGAGGTCTATTACCTGGACGGCAGTGGTATGAAATTCAAGCATACAGGGCTTTAAATCAGGCCCTTGGTAGGTAAGTAGAGTGAAATTTTATATAACATTACTGTAGTATTAGCTGTAGGGTTATATGTAGAACTAGTATTGCCATTAACTATTTATAATTAATTTGACAAACTTTTGTGTAACTGGGACCCTAGGAACTGGTCAGTTTTTAATTATAGATGTCACAAGTAGACGCTGAAAATAGTGCATAATCATACCTAACACAAAACTCAAAATTTGCTAATGTTTGTCACACAACTAGTGGTATGCAAAGATGGTTCTTAAGGAAAGCTCACAACAAACTTAATGTTTTGTAACATCAAAACCTAGATGATGATTTTTTTTAAATGGATGCATAAAAACTGACCATATGAGCACTAGTTTGAGTCCCAGCTGCTCGACTTCTGATCCAGCACCCTGCTAATGTACCTGGGAAAGCAGAAGATGGCACAATGCTTTGGCCCCTGCCACCCATGTGGGAGATACTTCAGTTCATGTACATATATATGTAACATGCAAATCAGAATAGATATACCTACAGGTAATAATTTTTATATGTGCACACTCCCTCCCACCAGATTTCAGGTAACGATATTGCTATACCAACCAGTGTGAGGAAATGTTCCATTTATTTGCAATTATGTTCCTTTAGTCACTAAAGATGTGTTGAATTATAATATCTGTTAAATTACTTTCATCAAATATAAAACTGTTATTGTGCGTCTTTGTAAAGAAGACAACTGACTGGGGAAAATTTTTTTCATTTTAAAGTCATTTCTAAAATTAAAATAACAGTGTGAAGTATAGATTGCTATTTTGGTTAACTGCGATAGTATTCTATACTCTGTCTCCTATGTGAAGTGATAACGTTGATAAATCAACATTGAAACTGAAGGACAGTGAATAACTGAAAGAAAGAGAAAATAATAGCTCTTTTTGAGGCACAAGTGAGCAATAAAGCAGTTTGCAAATCTTTCAAGAAGGATGAAACTAGCCATGGTCATGGTACTAAAGAATAACACCAACTAAACCACATTTAACAGTAATACTTTTTTTCTGAAAGATCCCAGGCTATGAAAATATGTGCTTTGTGGAACAATCATTTAAATCATCACTCTACACTGTAATTTCATATCATGGGATGCCATTTCCAATTTTTGTACAGTCTAATTGATTTTATATATTCTCTGTTTTTGAAATATAACCACATAATTTTTTTCTCAGCAAAACTGTAAGGAGTTTATAGAATTCAAATAAAATCATGGAAACATAGCCTTTGACATAGGCACAGTACAACCAGAAGACTCATAGCCAATTGTAATTTTACCTTACCAAGTCCAGAATTTAGATTTCTGTCACTTATCTTGAACACTTGCATTAGACCAGTTGCATATAAGTAGACTGGATTCATTTGACTTCAATTTACATAGACCTAATTGACATAGGACCCAAAAATTGAACGTAACTTTCAGAACATGTCATCCACTCCCATGTATATCATTTTAGAATGGTGTTTTATATGAATCTCTTCAAACTGAACAACTCAGTTCTGTGATTAAACTGCTGATATCCTACTGCAGCTCTTTTCTGCCCAGAAATCCCATTTTACATGGCATCTAATTACACTGCAAGTTGTTCTTAAAGTGCTTCGTCTGTTTACTTTGTCTCTCTCTGCTGACTGGCCTCTTTTGTTTGAATTTTAATATTCAGATAATAGTTTCTAAGGGACCTTGAACATATATTTGAAATTCTTGGCTTTTAGTCATTTAATTTCAGGAAAATAAATATTCTTACTTCAGTTGATTTTTTTTTTGTTTTACTTTTAATACAAACAGTGCTGTGAATTTCAAGAAATCCTGTGAAGCAAAAGTTATATTTGTATCCTATTTTTGTCACTTACAAATTTTTTGCATATTTATTATTTCATTTGATTCTTCATTGATCATTTCCAATAGCAATGCTAGTACTCCATATTTTGTTCTAATTGTTTTGTTTTTAAACTAGTTGTGAGATTACTTATGTAAGGTTACATAGCTGCTAAATGGCCCTTCACATCTTGGCCGCCCTCTCTTTAAAAAACCACAGGACCTGCTTTTTCATCTTTATATCACCCTACCTCTATCCACTGAACTGACCATGAAGTATAAACATTTATTAGATTTACCACATCCTTTCTCTACCTTGGCACACAAATTACTCTGTAATTCATTTGGCAATTTGACAATCTAACCATAGTTGAAGGTCTTAGCCTTTATGTGGACTTTTTCTGTTTCTCCAGCAAGTTATTTACACCTTAGTAAACCCATAGCAGTTTGTACGTTATCTCTGTTTCAGCTCTTATCTCATTTTAATTGCCTGCTTATACGTTTCTTTTCTTGAAGAAATGTGTTACACACATTTTTAAACTCTTAAAACCAGCTCTGTCAGCTTGGGACATAAATGCTTAATAAAGACTTGTTGAATTAGTGGAAAGATGCCAGATTCAGTACTTTTGCCACAATACCACATTGCCCCAAAGAGCTTGTAGAGCTTCAAGACAGGCTTTTCTAGACTATAATATAATTCATTAATCTGTAATGCTATGTATAGTACTGTATTTTTAGCATTTCATCAGTTTAAAAAATAGAAAGTCTAACTGTCATTTTACTGGTTTTCTTTAAAGATTTATTTGTTTGAAGGCAGAGTGACACACAGAGAGAGAGAGAGAGAGAGATCTTCCATTTACTGGTTCACTCATTTACATGGCCTCAACAGCTGGGGCTGGGCCAGGCTAGAAACCTGGGGCCTGGAACTTCATCCAGGTCTCCAATCTGAGTGCAGGGGCCCAAGCACTTGGGCCATCTTCCATTTCTTTCCCTAGAGACTTTAGCCAGGAGCTAGACTGGGAGTAAAGCAGCTAGGACTCAACGAAGCACTCATATGGGATGCCAGCATAAAAAAAAGTTAAAAAATTATAAAGATCAATGGGGCTGCATTGTGGCACAGTGGGTTAAGCCACTGCCTGCAACACCAGCATCCCATATCAGAGTTCCAGTTTGAGTCCTAACTGCTCTGCTTCCAATCCAGCTCCCTGCAAAGGTGCCTGGAAAGGCAGCAGAAGATGGCCCAAGTACCTGGACCCCTGCCACCTATGTGGTAAACTAGGATGGAGTTCCTGACCCAGACTAAATTATTGCAGCCATTTGGGGAGTGAACCAACAGATAGAAGATATCTCTCTATCCCCCTTTCAAACAAATAAAAATGAATCATAAAGAAGATCAAGCAAATATTTTGCATCATTTGATAAAACTCATGGTGTTTGTTGATTGACACTGAAGGGGATTATACTGAGGCACTCTTTCTAAGGGATACAGGTAGATGATGCAGAGTAAGCAGAAATCATTTGATTTTTATTAATTTTTTTGACAGGCAGAGTTAGACAGTGAGAGAGAGAGAGAGACAGAGAGAAAGGTCTTCCTTTTCCGTAGGTTCACCCCCAAAATGGCCGCTACAGCCGGCGTGCTGTGGCTGGCACACCGCACCGATTCGAAGCCAGGAGCCGAGTACTTCCTCCTGGTCTCCCATGGGGTGCAGGGCCCAAGGACCTGGGCCATCCTCCACTGCACTCCCGGGCCACAGCAGAGAGCTGGCCTGGAAGAGGCGCAACCGGGACAGAATCTGGTGCCCCGACCAGGACTAGAACCCTGGGTGCCGGCGCCACAGGCGGAGGATTAGTCTAGTGAGCTGCAGCACCGGCCAATGTTATCTTATTTTTAAAGCCCACATGGAACTGTTAGAGTATTTGAAGTAGAAAAATTCTTTGTAATATAATAATAGCCTTTGGAAACATCCCAGGTGATTTTGCAACTGGGTTACCACTGTACTATGCATTTCCTGAACTAGCCTGCTTTACTGTAAGTATCATCTTTGTCTCCAGTGGTCATAATTCACTTGAGCAAGACAGTATGAAAGCAATGAAATAGAGGCAACTTTTCCCCCTAGCTGTTTTGTTAAATACCTGTTTTCTATAGGATACTTTAAATACAAATCAAAGTAGAACCAAAAGAGTGGCATCCTGATGTTCCATTGATTTTTCAACACATTGACAGTGTTGAAAGTATTAATCTTCCTATTCTAGCCACTTGTATAGTCTGCTGCTTTAGAACTTACAGATCACTTTAAAATAATATAGAAAAAGAATGTCAAAATTTACATTTTTATTAGTCTATTTTCTTTTGCAATACAAAATACCTAATATGGGGTATGCTATAAGGGAAAAAGATTTGTTTAGTTTACAGTTTTCGAGACTGAAAGGCCAAAATCAGAGATCTCATGAGGTTTTCCTTGACTGTGTCACACAGCATGGCAGATGACATGGCAGTAGTGTGTGTGAGAGGGACTGATTACCTGGCAAGATAAGGAGTCAGAGGGATTTAGGATCAGGCTCACTCATGTGTAACAACCTGTTCTCACAGTAACTAGCCTGGGTTCTACAGGAACAATATTAATTCTTTCTGAAGGCAGGGCCCCCAGTCACCCAAATACTTTGTACTAGGTAGAGCTTCTTAAAGGTTCCACCATCTGTCAACACTGCCACACTGGGAAGCAAGCTTCCAGCATAGAACCCTTAGGGGATTTATCCAAACCATAGCAACATTCAAAAATTCCCTTTGGAAAAATAGAACATCAATCTTCGTTCTCAAAGTTCCATGACAGTAAAGTACTAAACATATCAAAAGTTACAAAGAGTTAGAGGAGAAACAATGGCAGATAAGAAGTGCCAATAAATTCTGAACTTTGAAAAACAGTTGAATGACAAAATGACTTAGGAGGCATGGGAAGGCTGGAATTTAAATCTACAGCGTTGAAAGCCAACAAGGGCCCCCCAATTCATGCATAGAAAAGCGTAGGACTTCAGAAACTCTAAACTGTCCATTAAAGTAAAAACAGAATTGGTTGCAAGATAGTATAGGAAGCAGTTAAACAGCCTCTCCCTCAACCAGCTGTACTTCTGTAAAGTCTGAACCAGGGAGTGTCTATTTTCTTCAACA